GTTTAAGTTGACTTGTCCTGCTCTCCAGTTTTACAATCGCTTATTCGGAATTACGTGCTCCACATGTGTGCACAAATATGTATATTCCATAAGCCATTTGATGATGTATGCGCCGTAATAAGGAAGCTGTACATACAGATGGATATGAATCTTGAATTCACACTAGATATGGAAATGGACGACGACGACGGTTGGTGGTTGACAGTGTCCACTACCTACTTGGCGAGCCGCTTCAATTGAATTAATTGAAATTCTTCGCTCAACTAAGTGAGCGCACAGAATCTGTGTGCTCATGAGAACTTGTAAATGCGACCAGCAATCACAAGTTTAGTTCCTTCATTCAAATTTTAATTTATAGGGCAGCTCCACAATGCGGGCCATTTGCACAGATCCATAGTTGCATATTTTTTGTTTCGAGGATTACCGGGTGTGCATAGAAAACATATGTGGAGTTCTTTATATATAATCTACAACTACATGAGAATATTTCTTCAAATATTTGTTTAAAAGCAATTAATCACAAACTTTTTTCCTAAATGAATTTTTCTCAGTTAATGCCTATAATTTCATCCTAGCTTTGATTACTGGCCTTATAGTTTTGAAAATAAAAACAAAGGGGCAAATCAAATTAAACTCTTGGGCCATAAATGCAAATGAAATTTAATCATCAAGTCGACTTTAAAAGCCTAATAATTGATGTATTAACTTGCATTCAATTAGTAGTTAAGAATAATTACTGTAATTTGACCTATGAATGGCAAACCATATTTGTCGATGTCTGAAAATCTAATTGCGGAAATGTAAAGCAAATGTAATAACATTTTGGACTCACGATTTATCTTACACATTTGGATACCGTTACAATTAATAATTAATTTAAGCTGAGAGAAAATGTGGGGAGTTGGGAAGTTTATTTTGAGATTAAATAGAGTGTGAGAATTTAGTAGTAATTTATTTGCCACCTTCAAGGCACTCACATCTATGTTACGTACTTCATCATCTTAAGCGCTAATAGTGCATAATGCCGGATTTTGAAGTGGACAAAAATTGAATCTCCCCAGCACATGGATATAATCTCGGCAAGCGTATTAGGAACTTGGTGCTGGTGGTGGTGGTGGTCAGGGGCCATCGGGAACAGGGGACCAGCCTAATCTATTATGCGATTCGCCTGGACAATTTGGTCGTGTGAAAAGCCGTCGGCGATGGTGATTTAAGATCTGATGGAAAGATGGAAAACAGGCAGAGCTGTGACGATCGAGAGAGTCCGATTAAATAATCTCACATGAATGGGAGGCGGCTATTTCGAGGCGAGTGCTTCTATTTCAATTTCTGTTTCAATTTGACTATATGCGGGATAGTTCAGATGGCCGGCTTAGTCAGTAATCAACTGCAGTTCGGGGTGGAAAGTGCCGAGTGTCGGCGAGTGGAAAGTGGAAAGTGGGCGGGGAAATCGGTCTTGTTGTTGCGGAATTGAGTCGCACCAACACAGTGCCAAAGTGCCACGCACATGAGGGCGATCTCTCGCACACACTCACGCATCGCCACACACACAGGGGGAGTAATGAATTGATGGTTATTTTCAAAAATCCAACGACTGTCCGCGCGATCACTGCACAAATCAGTTGTGGAATCGCCCTCGAGCGGCAATGTTCTCCGCGTTCTCGAACTCGGACCTCAGAACGCAGATCACAGATCGCAGATCGCAGATCTTGGACTGCCGAAACCACTGTGAACCAAATCTATAAAACACCATCTCAAGGAGTAGTTGAATTCGGTGCTTCACACAATCTTGCCATTGCCTTTAAAACACTCATTAAATATAAATTCTACAAGTATGAACGAATGAATATATATATATATATATATATATATATATATGTTGGAGATCGACTACTACTGGTCAATTCTCCGAGCGGGGTTAAGACCCTTCAAAGGCGCGATAATCGCAATCAACGTTCTCGTCGTCGAGCGGCAACAGCAACAGCAACATCTACGGCAGAAACATCGACAACAGCAACATCAGCGATGAGTCTCCCTCTAGTGCGGATCTCTATCTCACACCCACTCTCTTTCTCCGTTTCTCCGGAATGCATGAGTATGTATGTGATAGTGCAACATTTGCCGACATAATTCAATGTTACTCAGATAGAAACAATGTTGTATTTTTCACTAACCTTAAAAATTAATATGTAAAATAGAAACCGCACAAACCATTAGGATTCGAATTGAAGTAGAAAAACACAGTTTTACAATCATGACATGAAAAAATTAACTTAAATTGACCTAAAAAATCCTGATGGTACAAAAAAAGAAAAATTCAAGTATTTATTTTGACTTTTTAAATGGTTATTTCTTTTCCTCTTTACCTTATCTACAAAGAAAGTTTTAAAAATTATAAAGGACTAGTAATGTATTTGCTCTTAGCATGTTAATAATTTCAATATATTTGTTTTATTATAAAAACTGTATCGTATACATTAAATTCAGTTCCACTTGAAATCACGTCCTTAAAGGTAGAAACCTATTAAGCCAAATCAAATTTAGCTGCGATGACAATAGCTGTAGTTAATGCAAATCAGGAAATGCAACAGATTTTCAACTACGGCAATTGTTGATGTTGCTGTTGCTGCTACTTTACTGGACTCACTTAACTAAGTGTTATTGTACTCTGATTAATCTATGTATATTCTAATTTAGCTGATGAATGCATTCAGCCAACTATTTATTGTACTCCGTTTGTGCATCTTGCGCTGACAAATTGTTGAATGCGAGAGCTCATCTGCTTTTTTGACAAGTACTTGACGCTTATGCCCCGGCAGCAAACAGCAATCATAATCGAGCGATGCGGCAACAATAAGACTGTGTAGCAGCCACATTGTATGTAGTTTTATTCGTTTTATTCGTTTTATTCGTTTAAATTCAATTGACTTTGAATGCTCCAGCAATGAAGGCAGCAAACACAGACTCACAGACTCTCAGGCTCGCAGCCACACAGCCACATCAGCAATGTTGTCGATGTCGTTGTAGTTGTCGTTGTCGTTGTCGTCTGTCATGGAGCAATTTTGAACGCTGTCGGCGAATACGGGCAACGGAAAACGAATGAGGGTCAATTAAGCCAATTTAAATTTAATAAACTTATGTATTATGTGCAAGAGGTTACTAGCCGTATACGACGTGCAATGATACACATCTACATGCCGAGCGAGAGAGAGGGGGGGAATTGAACGAAATATTTATATTTTTCGGGGGAGAAAAACATTCGGAGGAGACAGCTGGCACAGAAGGTTAAGTATCTCGTACAGATATTAATAACTCACAGCCTAAACGATGAAGTGCATAGTTCAGAATACATTAACCTTGCACAAACACACACACACACTCATATCGCTCCGAACGGATGGAAGCATCTTCAAGCTGTCAATTGTGAGCTATCCAGAGAAAGTACTTCCACACTAATTGATTTATCATTGCAGAGCACGCAATAATGGAGCATAGCAGGATCGGAGATCAAGGCGACCGGATCAAGGGTGAATATGGCACATATACAGAGTGTATCAGTTACTTACCAAGTGCGCTTTCCTAAGTACTAGTGCCGCAGGAGTTAGGTTCGTGTCCGCAATACCTCCTGCTGCCCAAGTGCTTATTAAAGCGGCGAGTTGTCCAACATTGAATAAGCGACTTCCGTTTCGTTTCCATTTAGTTATAATTTAATTGTATTTAATATTTCTCCTATTAGTTACAAAAACTAGGCTTGACAAATTATACTAATCTTTGCGTTTGCTGTTCGTATCGCACGAGTACCGCCTGCCCCCGCGTACATTTTAAGATTAAGTGGCAGCAATTCTCTAAGATACATAAATTTTTTATTCCGATATATATACTATCCTCAAGCTGGAAGGTATCCGCTCCAGGGAAGAACGCCGCCGCCGCCGCTGCTGATGACTTAATTTTGAATTCAGAATTCTGAATTCGGCGTTCTGTTCTGAGTTCTGAATTCATAATTCAGAATTTCGAGAGTCGAATGGCGGCGAATGGCGAACGGCGAGGCTCTGGTAGGGACATATTCCCTCCGGATCGGTCCGAAGATTTGTACATATGTTGCGGCGTAGCAATTGTTCTATAAATGCTTAATTTACTCCTAGATGGGGGCAACACAACATACATCGAAGTGAACGGCATTTCGTCCTCACAATAAATTATGACCTATGTACAGTTGTGGGTTCGGGGCGGTTAGACAATTTGAAATTACACTGAGAATCTCGAATTTCCAGCCTGCCGTATATAATCATGTATGTACACATTGTCGCTTAGACCGCTAGTTAGGACTACTTAGCTCTAGTTAAATACACGTATGTGGTAGCTACACTTAAACACTCGAGTTAATCGAAACGAAAATTAATAGGTAATACTTTCATAGAGGATATGGACATGATATTCTCACAAATGCGACTCCCGCAGTACTCTGCCGGGAACTCTGGAAGAGTGCAGGTCCTGTTCAGATTAAATGGATATATATACGTTTATTGGTATACTAAATATGGCGTAAATTAGTTGCAATCGGTCTGCTCGGTTCGCTTTTTTGGGCGCACAACAATGACCTCGGGTTAGCTTTAGCGAGCGTTAGGATGTCGGCGATATGTTAAGTTGTCAGCGTTTGTTTTCGGAATCGTTGGGTATGGGATAGGGTATACGGGATTTGGGATATGGTGTGTGGGTGTAACGTTAAACGATATGGTCTTTAGAAGTAGTTTCGTTCGCTCCTCTCTTCCGTCGAGAATATTCCTTATCGGGCTTAATTACAACAACAGATGACAACGATTATTTACAAAACGAGTGTATTGCAGTTACACTTTTGGCATTGCATTAAGTACACAAGATGCTTACGAGCTAGGAGAAGTCTTTCCTCAAACCATGCGAATAAATACGTCTAGCTGCTAGGATATTATTCGATACGATGCGGTACGATACTCATGTATTAATACACTTGCCACTTTATATCATTTGGTTTTTGTTTTGTTTTTGTACACTCAGATGTAAGTATGGGTGTGAGAGCTTTATATACAACTTTCCTGTATGCGATTCGAGGTGGTGACGATCTCCGGACCGGTGCGAAATCGGTACTCGCTGAGCGATGACGTCACCGACGGATTGTTCGGGCTCAACAAACTGACCTCCATGGGCTGGGGCGTCAGGTGGTACGAGGACGAGGGCGTGGAGGTGCTCACGTTGTAGTTCAGCGCACCCAACGGAGGACTGCAGGTGGTGATGCCCTTTTTGTTCAGTGTGGCATAGCTCTGCATAGTTTGTACGTTTTTTTTTTGTTTTTGAAAAGAAAGCGGAAGAGGAGAGCCCAAGATGAACACCATGAAATAGGGCATGATATAACCAGCACCAAAAGCTCAAAGCCTAAGCTGACAAACCTTCGACATTGACAATTTAGAATCAAATTAAAATATAAATCCGTATCAGTGCTAAATTGATTATTTCGATAAACATATCGAAGGCTTATCAGCTCTAATTCTAGGTTTCGATACTCACGATCTGCTTGCTGGGTCGGAAGGTGTAGTGGAGCACCTCGTTCCCGGAGCTGCTCATCAGTCCGATGCTGGACAGACCCTCCGCGGCCCCCAGTCCCACGTCGCTGCCCCCCTTCGTGAGCTCCGTTTCCCGGAGGTAATCGCGCTGCATCAGGCGATTTGAGGGGCTGGCGAAGCCTGGCGGGGAAACCAGGCTCTTCAGCGGACGTTTTTCTGCAAATGCATTAATTAAGGAAACTGAATTAATTACAGAAGGCTAGCTGAAACGAAGATGCTAGTAGCCTATATTTTTATATTGAGGAAAATGCTATTCGAATGAAACTATAACCTTAACTAAAAAAGAAAATTGTAAGAGTATGCGTACAATGTTCTTCCATAAGTATATAACAACTTAAAATCAGCTGGCTAGGGTACTGACACATGATATTTTAAGCAGTTATTTTATTAGAATTCAATTAAAAGAAACAAAATTAAAATTAAAATATGGCTATAACTAAATAAATAGAATTTAGTGGTCTGCTTACAATATTCTTCCATATGTTTATAAAAACGTATAATCAGCTGGCAAAGGTATTAAATATTTTTTTATATTTATTATAACTAAACTAAATTTAAATAAGTTTAATTCAAAAGCGTATAGTTTAAATATTAAAATAAATGTATTTGTGAACAGACTACTTCTGGTTCGTAGATTATTGTTTATATTGATTTGTAAAGTAATGTCTTTTCCGCTTATTTAAAAAAAGGGCAGGGTGATGGCAGTTCCAAGGAAATACTCACCATACTGATTTGGTATAACATCGGGATCGGTGTCATCTATGTCGGCCTGGTCGGCCATGGGACTGTGCCGAGTCCGGGCTGTCGAACGGAGTGTGTCGCCGGACATGGCCACCAGGCCAATGGAAGCGCTGCCCTTCATCCCGCCGTCGAGACCCACGCCCCCGCCGCCCATGCCGCCGCCCCCGCCCACATCGCCCAGGGCGGGGCCATCACAGTTGAGGGGCAGGAGGCTGTGGTGCGGCTGGTGGTTGCCGGATCCGTCCGACTGAGCCCCGGGATGCAGCGGATCCAGCTGGCAGTCCGCCGGAATCGTGAGCTGCGTGTGCTTGGCCACCTTCAGATTGCTGTCGCTGCGCCTGCAATTTAAATGAGGCCATTAGGGCAAAGCCGCAGCCATTAGCCATTAGCCGTGAGCTGTTAGCTGTTTGCTGTCCGTACCGATTGGAGAACCTCCGGTAGATGGCCGCCAGCATGATGCAGAAGATGGCGAACAGCAGGCCACAGAAGAGGGTCAGTCCGGCCAGAAACGGGGAGAGGGGCATCGAAAGGCCGGTCGAGGCGCCTGCGAGGCCGCAATTAAATTATTGCCACATAATTCCCAATTACTAATGGTGGACTCCTCCTCTCCCGCCACTCACCTGTGAACTTGGCCACGCCCTTGAAGTTGATGTCGTCGATTATGGTGGGCTCCGACCGACCTTTGGCATTAACTGCGAATATCACCATGCGATAGGTGGCCGCCTGGTCTAAATTATCTATCACAAAGGTCACCGGCGTGTGCTAAATAATTATGAAAAAAAAAAACAAAATGAAATATATTTATCTTTACATTATTATTATTATCTATAGTTTCCTAATTTCCCTGAATTTTATATCCAATTGAGACAACCCGCTTATTCAGAGAATAACATTAAAACATGTTAAGTTGCCTTAATTATAAACTGAAAAACTGTTTTCTCATTAGTGCCTAGTTAAATAAATTCTAGTAATTGTTTATAGTTCGGCTTAAGACTTCACATCAGAGTCACGTGTAATCTTTTCTTTTATTTGATGCTTTAACCCACAGAAGCATTAAGTCCCAAATCATTATTTATTCAAAATATTCTAATCAGGGGAACTTGCGAGTTTTATATAAAGCGCCGAAAAGTATGCAATATCTTCACCCCTCTATCTACTGTTTACCCGAACACTTCAAGGCAATTAATTATTTTAAGCCCCCATTGATTAAGGGAACATCCCGATAAAGTGGTTTAATGGGCTCGCCCGGTAATTAAGATTCCCAGCTTACCGAAACCGTGATGTTCCTGGCCAGACGCAACGTGTTCAGCTCGACCAGCTCCAGCATAAATCCCTGCGGCAGTCCTCCGTCGAATCCCTCCAGGCAGTCGACTTGCAGCGAGTCCACCGACTGATTGGTCACCGAGCAGTTTTGCAGGGGAAACGGCCGACCTGCGGATGGAGTTACATTCGCCCCGATTAACTGGGATAATGCAGATGATGATGGTAATGTTGTTGGGTGCTTACCGGCTGCCACAATTTGAAACACGCAGGGACTCTTCTGCGTGCCAATGGAGTTCTTGGCCCAGCAGGATATCGTGCCATAGTCAAGGTCCGTGCTGGGTGTATAGTTTAGTCGCGACATGCCCGTCTTTAAAGTATAAAGATACGCAGATAGTTAGTAAGCTGGCTCTAAAGTGGCCGTCTCAGACAATCCCACCTCGCTGGAGTGCAGGCGGGCCGGCAGTTCCGTCTGTTCGCCGGACGAGTTGAAGGTCCAGTGGAAGGAGTCCGCCGGCGGCGAGGAGTCCACCTCACATTTGAGCGGTAGTGTCTCGTGCTTGAGGGCCCCCAACAGCTCCTCGTGGTCCGTGGCACAAATCGGAGCATCTATCGAGGGTAAGTGAGTAATTAGAGCGGTTATTGAAGTATCTAACGACCAATCGACGCTTGCTCTAACAATGCACTTAAAACTATGGGGGTAATAAGACATGTAAGACGCAGGAACAGTTTTAAGATATTCAAAAAGTGAAATAATGTCTTAAAACATTTTAGAGTTGAGTTTAGAACCAGCTCCAAGCTAAAGCTTTATCTGTTTGCCTCCGAGAGAACCTTGAGCTATGGCTCCAATAACTCGTTTGAAAAAGCAAAGCCCGACTAGCTCACAGCAAGACAAACAACTGAATTAGCTCTAAACACTCAAACCTAATCATCATTAGCTTAAGTTAAATAGTAAATATATATCGGATTGGGACTTTAATATTTTGAATAACAGCGCAAATTTTTTAGTTATCCATTTATAAAAGCTGAGCTTATAAATTCTAAAGAAATCAATTACAAACAAATCGATTAGCTTACCATAAAAAGCTTATTAACTGAAGTTGTTTTTTAAACTGGGAGTCGAAGAGATCTTCGAGCTTACTTCTGCAGGGCAACATGTTTTAAATTAAAAACTTTAACAACTAAGAAAAACAAATGACTCTTTTCTGTGAATTTCTGCAACGTTTCCTAACAACTAAGCAAGAATTCCTAGCAAGAAAACTAATTTTTTTTCCAGTGATGGTCCTCAAACGGACCTGAATTAATACCGAATTTCAAATTTGGCTGCCGCATTTTGGGCATGACGATGCCTTAGCCCAGGCGGCGCAATCCGACCCCGTCTCTTGGTCATTTGGAATATCATTCGGTGCCAGAGTCAGAGCCGAATTCCAAGGAGGAGGCAGGGCAAGTGCCAAGGCAATGCATTCATTGCGCCATAATCTTGGTCATTAACGTGAGTCGTAAGGGCTGCTGGTTGTGGGGCATTGGATTTGGGCTTGGGCTTGGGTTTGGGGGCCATTGTGCAGGGAACTTGGGCCGACACACCTACTCTGCCTTTGTTCTTGGCTCGGGGCCAGAATATAGCACAGAGCCCCGTACTCTAAATACATTAAGAGCCATTCAAACTCAAGGATTAAATTGGAAATTACAGAGACGTTAGTTCAAGCCAAACTTGGCTGACTTCGATGGCGGCGGGGATCGGAGACGATGTAGACGGTTGGGACTTGGCTGCGATTTACTTACAGCGTATGCGCAATGTGACCGGATTACTGGGGCCCTTGCCCTCCGAGTTGACAGCCAGGCAGGTGTAGTCGCCGGCCGAGGCACGTGAGACGCTCTGCAGCACCAGCGACTGATCTGACAGGATGACGCCCGCGGATATGTTGTGCTGCAGCTCCTTGCCCTGCACGGGGAGAAAAGAAGTCACAGATTAGTGGGTTTATTGCAAGAAAACAGCAGGCACACAGGGCGTATGAACAATATTAACAGAATGTTTAATAAGTCAATAAAATCGTATTCGTATAGTGTAGTGTTAACTATTTAAATGTGTGTTTAAATAATAACTCGCAAGAGCTGAAAACACGTTCTCAAAATGAAAACAATTAAAGTTTTATTGCTTTAGGATTGGATTCGGGTTTTGTAAACAACTTGTAAGCAACTGCACCAGAAGGTGAAAAACTCTTATTATTCATCATCATCATCATTATTCATCACCATTTAGATTTTTTTCATGAAATTAAACACATTAATGAAACATTCTTCGGATGAACAGAAATAAAATGTAAATGGTTTTTAAAAGCTAACACTAAGCTATGAGTAAATAACTGCAGCAGAAAGCGTAAAAGTCTTGTATAAAAATAACATATTCTTCATATTATTTGGGATTTAGTAGTGAAACCATAAGGTTTATTTTTTTATAAAATCAAGCTCATAAATTTTGTATTTTTTATACTTAAAGCCACTTCCGAAAACTCATTGCAGACCACTTGCAGTAATAAGTTTTAAATTCGTGTTTTTTGGCAATCAAGATAGGTAATAAATTATCGTCGAATTCAGTCATTTCTCGCAGTGCTTAAAGTATTCCACATCCATTATTTAGGGACATGCTTACGTTATGGAACCAGGTCATCTTGTAGGGCTTCGGGTTCGCCAGCACAATGCACTCGAAGTACGCATCATCGCCCTCCTTGATGTCGTCGGGATTCAGCGAGGAGCCAATCTTCAGCGTAGTGGTGGGCTGGTCTGTGGACACATGGGAGAAACGGTTTTTTGCAATTAGACTTCATGCTTCACCCTCTCAGTGGCCGCAGCTCTGCTTACAATGGACAATGAGTCGCCATTTGTCCTCGATGGCGCTGCCGTCGATGAATTGATTTTCTGCCCGACATGTTAAATATTTGCCATCGTCCTCGCGTCCGGGCGTAAACGTCAGTATACTTAGAGATTGATTATCGGGTTCATTAAACTAAAAAAGAAACGCAAACAGAGTCCATTAGGAAATGAATAATGAAACGGAAGCGGGCCGAAAGTAACCGAACGAACGAAACGGAAAGTGAAGTCGAAGTGGAAGGAAACCCAAGGCCACGGCGAAGAACGGCGAAAATGGATAGGAAATTTGTGGCAATTATAAGCGCCTCACACAGTACACAATATTAATTTGTGTTTAATTAATGAGTTTGGGACTGAAGTGGCGCATTCATTAGGAGTTGGGCTTACGTTCTTGGTGAGCTTCTTCAGCTGCTTGCTGCCCTTCCACCAGGTGATGAGTGCCGGCGGCTTCGATCCGGAGCTCTTGCACTCCACATCGTAGGTGCGATCCGCGGACACGAACCGATCCTTGGTGAGAATGTGCACGGCAATGGGTTTCACTGCAACGATAACCATTAGCACCACTGTTCGGGGGCATCCTCGAGCACCTCACTCACGATTCACGTCCAGGATGACGACCTTGTTGTTGGGCGGCGTCAAGTTCGTGTTGCTGGCCACGCACATTAGCCGCGAGTTCAGGTGCTGCCGGCCCACATTTGGGTAGGACAAATGGTTAATGGTCTTGCCATCGGGGCGCTGCTCAAAGGACTCGTCGATGGCCGTGTTGTCCAAGTACCAGGTGACATTGGGTCGCGGCCGTCCTGCGTTTTCGGTGATTTAAGTGAATAATAAATATATGTATAAATTATTCAAATACAAAATTTACGAATTTTAAATATTAAGAAAAGCATGAATTGGCTTTAAGCCCGCTTTTTATTTTATAAGCCCATTAAATTTAAAGCTCTTTTTGCACCTCGCATATTGAACGTCATTGTTTCAATGAATAAAACTATTTTCTATAGGCAACTAAAATATACAAAAACACTACCATTTATTCATACAAAAATATGTTTCTCTTTGTTGAATTTTATGCGAGGTTTTTTTCGGTCATTGCTAACCCACTTAATTATTACATTAAATCAATTTAATAATAAATATTTTATGGGGTTATACAATCCATTTAAAAATTCAAAATCCTTTATTTTTTGAATATAAACTCTCTTACCTCCTGAGACTTCACAGGAAAGGACAATGTCGTTGCCCTCGTTGAAGGACTCCACGTTTCCGGCCTTCTCGTGCCTGTTTTGGCCATAGATGATGGGCTTATCCGGGGGCACGATGACGGTTAGGTTGATCTTCAGATTCCGGGTGGGTGAATTGCGGAAGTCGACGCGACACCGATATACCCCTTCGTCCTTGATTTGGATGCTATCGATCTTCAGCTGGGCGGGGTGGGTGGTGCTGCTGAAGTGGGCGCGAGTGCCGAAAGCCGATGGCGAGGACCACAGACGCGCCTGACCAAACTGCCGGCCTCGCACATCAAAGCTGCAATTTGGGTTTTAAGGGTTATTAAAAAACAACATCTTACTCATAAATACATTAAAATAAACAATATTTAAAACTAAAACACAAAATGGTGTCTATGTTACTGTTTATCTGAGGCTGCCAAATAACTGTTTATCTGAGGCTGCCAAATAACTTTAGAGGAATTTAATCAATAGAAATTAAAAATTGGTTATAAACTTGTGTAAGTTATACTATTTTCAATCATTTCTTTAGCTTTCATAGCAAACAACTTAAATTAATTATATTCGTCAGCTTTGTTCTAATTCAATAATTCTTTTAATTGCACATACAAAAATGTTTCTCAGCGATAAACACACCTAAAAAATGTGTTTACATAATTTGTAATTACAAATTTTACCCAAAGGCTTTTTTACTGGTATACACTTTTTTCGCAGAGTAAACATTTTTGATTTAATACGCGATTTAAATAATCTGTTCTTATCAATGTCTTTCCTATTTTTTAATATAAAAAACAAAGCTGAGATATTTTATTCTTAAATTATATAGACTCAAATTTAGATGTAATTATTTTCTTAAATTTAAGTTTTAATAGAAATACTTGAACGCAGAACGTGAGATTACATTCTTTGATTTCTTTAGAGTTTGTACTCACTTGTAGATGGGTTCGCCATCGCCCTCGCGAAACCAAAGGACCATGTAGACGGCATCGTCCCGCTCTTGCGGCGAAATGTCGCAGGGCAGCATCGCCTGCCGCCCAAGGACACCCTGCACGGTGGTGAGCGGGACGGGGCGATCCAGATTCTGCATGAGCTCATCCTGTTCTATGTACGTGCCGAACACCTGGACGATTCCAGACAGCATGAGCAGGGGCAGAAGCAGGAGAAGCTGCCTCCAGGCAATGGCGCTGGGGAATGGATGAGGGGGCGTGGCCCTTCTCCGGCGGGTCTGCTCCCGATTTGCCTGCTCCTCCTTTTCAATCAGTCGGCAAACTACTTGGTACGTTTCCTCGTGATGCATGATTTTTGCTTTCTATTTTACTCAAACTTATCGGTTGCTAAGACTTTTCCTTTGACCTTTCTCATAGCCATTTATAGATTATCGCATTTTCATCCATGATGCGGAATTAGGGGGCCAACTAGGGCGATTTGCTGTCCTTCTGCTGCACAATGCAATAGTACAAGTCATTAGTTAGTTACAACTCTTAGGTAAGGGTAAAGGTAAAGTATTCTGTATTTCAAAGTTGACTTATTCAAATTATAAAATTTGTTTCAGGTTTAAATTTTCAAATTAATTGAAATATTTTCACTTTGCCATAAAATATATAGGAGTTGTTAACAACTTTTTTCTGTACATTCAAAAAACCGCAAATATGTATTTAAAACCATTTTCATTTGATAGTTAAACAAATTGTTATTTATTAAGTGCTTTTAAATAATGGCTGTTCTTTTGTTTAAATTATTTCAGATATGTTTGCCCAAATATTTGTGTATTATTGTTTCCTTTGTAATTTCATTTTGGCTTCCTGTAATCACATCAAATTTTTGGTTTCGGAAACTATTTTATAAATTCTTGCCTGTCCACTATTGAAACTAATAAACTGGTAACTGCCAAAATGAATTTTTATTTCCAAAAATACAATGCACATAAATTTAAATGACTTATACGAGCAGAAATAATTTAAATATTCCGCACTCGGCTAGTTAAATATTTATGTATATGTACGAATATTATGGGAACTTTGCTTGGTGACCTTTAAAATTTAAACAGTTCTCTTAAATTTAATAGCCTCTGCGTATAATTGGAAATCATTGTTTTTGCGGCCCATACTGCACAAAGCTTTATACCTTCAAATCCATTTACCTTCAGTGAAAGTAAAACACTTCGGATATTTGTGTGAGGAAAACCAATTAAGATATGAATCCGAGCATTATAAGCCCCAATTCGAACACTCAATTTGCAATGAAAGTGTTTTACGATGCTTTCAAAATCTTCATCATATGCAAAACTCTGGCAGAACGATTGACCCCTTTTATTGAAACGATTGGTAAACTTAATTTGGTCAGCTTCAAGGGCATCAATTTAAATAATTTTTTGTTAAACGTGTCCATTGTCTGCGGAATCACAATTAATAACCGCTGTCAATCGCATTCATCTCGCTAATAAATCAAAAGTATTTAAGAGAACAATGCGTTCTGAGATCAACACGTCCCACTCATTTTCGCAATTTTATAAAGTCTCTCAAGAAGTCGGTTAAGTGTAACTAACAGTTTTATTGAGGTAATCACGACGATTGCCGGCTTTTAGAAATATTTATGCCTCTTCTAACGAATGGCATTCTTAGCTCACGGCCAGGTTGGAATTCATGACGCATTTGCGGTCAACTCACTCAATTTGCGGGGCTGTATGTCAACGTAATGTCTTTAAAAATGTGAAGTCATTTGTTTGGCACATGGCTGACATTGCCAAAAACCAAAAACCAAAAATCAAAACTGACAGGGCGAGAAATGTGAAGTGAGAGATGTGCTGACTGTGGACTGTGGATACGAAAGTATGTCCCTGATTGGCTAGTCAGTTGGAGTCGTTAAAGATGATGATGGCTGGAATGCGACAGAGCCAAACACCAGGCATATGGCCAAGATTACCCCTTCTATGGCCAAGATCGCCCTCTACGATAACAAAAGGGGGGAAGAGTTATGGGTCTTTGGGTAACGAATATCTGAGATTCCAGCCAAGTGGCATAGCTCATGCTCATATGTCCACTCAAAGTTATGGGCCTAATGCCCCTTTATGGCCATTTAATGTTATAACTTAATTAATTATTACTATATTCCATTTCCCCTGGTCGAAAAAAAGAGCTGCTCATAAATATGTGCCGTCCGCAATTTGCCTATGAATGTGATAGACAAACACTTGGCCGAGACTTGAGATTCAAAACGGTTTCAAAAGGAATGGGTCTAAAAAAAATACCCTGCTCAAGGGTCTTATTACTATTTTAAAGATTTTAAAACCATAAGTACAACAAGAACCATAGCAAATTAAAATATATTCACAATGGAATACAATCATATCAATCAAACGCCCATTTAATTACATGTATCTTTTGAATCACCTAACTACCTTTACTTTGATGGATTTCCAAGGGTATTTGTGGACCTTTTTGTGGAGATCTACCTTTGTTAGCCACTTTGGTCAATTCCAAACAAAATATTTTGAATGCTGACAAACTGACCAACGATAACCGGTTATCTGAATGAACTTGAATTCTTCGCTATTTAAAATTCATTAGCTTTTATCTGTTTTTATTGCCACATAGAATAAACAATGGATGCGTTGATTTATTAATTATTTATTTCGTTTTTACTTTACAAATAATGAAATAACATTATCAGCTCACAAAAAGCGGTTGTAAGGGAAACAAAGCGATTTTCCGATTGTTTGATTGAAGGTGTCGCATTCGAATTTGAAAGAGCCAACAAATCATAGCCAGCGAATCGCATAAACAGGAATTTATATTACACCTGTAATTTCAATTTCCGTCCGCTGGCTGCCACTTAAAGTTGCTAAGCGATTTCTAATGGAAGCAATTAAAGCGCCAGCCCCCGCTAAATATATAACCCTTTCTCCAACGAGGAGTAGCCCATCCGCAGAAGTCGTAAACTTGATTGCCTATGCACTCAAGTCGGAGGCCCCATGGGCGCTTTGTTCGCACATGGAGGTGCGAATTTTTCAGCCTGAAAGCAGATCAATGATATTTGCATACCCCAACAAACTGCGAGTGGGGCTGTCTTTTGACATTCACGGGGAACAGGAATAAGTGGGGCTTGGACTACTCGGACTCATCGTCGTCGGCATTAATAAGTATAAATAACTCTTTGATGGGCAGCCGGTTGCGAGCTGGCCGGCGACTTAAGTTTGTTTAGTTTGCTGGCCATTTGTACAAAACACCTTTGGCTTCTACACAAAATATGACAAGAAATCAACCGAAACCGGTTTCGGTTTTCGATGTAATGTGATTTTTGTGAGAAATACCCAGAAAAAACGATCCCCCCACACTCGAAAAAATATTGTCCTAGGATCTTTATAAAAAATGAATAAAATGTACAATGTGTAAAATTTGTTTTTTGTTATAAAACACTTTGATCTAAAAAAATTGTCATTTTTGTATACAATTCTTAAAGAAAAAAAAAGTTTTCAGCTGAATTTTTTGTTTGTTATTTGACGGTACCATAACAGAACTGAAATCTTTTAAAATATATTAACTTATGTAAAAAAAAAAACAAAACTATCTTTTTATTTTCATTAACTATGACTTGTAAATAACTATCTAGAAAAATTTATTTAATCCAAAGCATGTGCCTAATTATTTTATTAATACTTCGTTGTGGCTTAGTTATAGGAATTTTAATTTTAATTTGTTTAATGAAGAATGTTAAAGCTCTTTAAATCGAAATCCACAGCAAATATACCACAATTAGGCTAACAAATTAGGAGCTTGAATTCTTCGCAGTGCAGAGAAAAACTCAGGAAAAGACAGCAGTGTACGGATACGCCATGCCTGAAATGCTAAAAGATGTTTGTGGGACCTGGTTGCTGGTCGGTGTTGTCTCTGTTGCCGGTTGCTGTGGTGTTGCTAATTAAGATTACAGACATCGATACTTTTCGGAAAGCAGTGGCACGTACACATATAGTATACGCCGACTATATGGTATGAGCCGATATGTGGGTAAAAAGATGGCCAGCAGCAAAAGCAAAGGCTTTGCCATTGCCTTTGCAATAGCTGGCAAAAGGCAGTTGATAGCTCCCCAAAGTGCTACATCAACGCCAGGTGACAGCGTTGAGGCTGGCTCCTGGCTTATTAATTATGTAGCTTAATTTGCGATTATGCAGATATGCATGAGCATAAATTTTGAGGGAAATAAGCAGCCAGATAACTCACCTGCTAATGTATGTGCATATATGCCAGCCGATTTCATTCAATATTCCATGTTGTTTTTATTGCCCTGCTTTAGTTTGCTTCGCTTTGTTTGAGTTTGATTTCGCTTTGGTTTGGTTTGGATTAGGATTGGGATTTTTTTTTTGTTTGTGTTTTTGTTTCGGCCAGCTTCTGGCTAGTTTTTCTTCTAATGAGCCACAGACATGCCGTCTGAGCGGAATCTGCGATAAAACCGAAAGATGTATGGTTAAGAACCCGAAACACTTAACGAGCTTGTAGCTCGCACTGAACTGATTGCACTCCTAATTGGCCAAGATTTACGTTCGCACCTCCTGCTGCAATTTAGTTTTGATTTCGTTAAGCTCACACTATCCGCACGTTTTTCATTGTGTGTGTTGCCAAGTGTAATCAAGTGCCGCCGAGGATCTCTCGAATCTGCTCTCGTTTTGACAACTATTACCATAACAAATCAGCGCGCCTGCCACTGACAGGGCCAATTGAACCGCACACGGAGGGACGACAAAAAAAAATAATATTTACACGGCACCATCATCGAAGGCATGGGCTGGGGTTAAGGGGCATCGGGAATGGGAGTAGGAATGGCAATGGGAATGGGAATGGGATAGGGAATGGGAATGGGGTTTGAGCACGAGTCACCAAACAACAACGATGGGCCCGTGCCCGTTTCGTGGCTATATCCTGGCAGCCTTGTAGTCCGTATTCTGGCGCTTTCTTTTTTATGCCACAGTCGTAAATTCCAATTATCGACGAACTCGAGGCACGGCACCGCAAAACCGAGCAGCCAGCCCTTCCTTCGAGTGGAGAGCCGCTGAAGTGGCGGCAACTGGAGCTGGAGCTGGAGCTGTAGCTGGAGTGGAGGGATTTTCAAAGTCAGCCGCGGAAACGTTTGTTGCTATTTCAGTCTGTCGGGATTTTGATAATTTTTTTTTATAAATTTTCCTTTGGTTAATCCTTGAGGTTTCAGACAGCACACATTTTTACGGTAGAAGGGTCAGCAAATAAAGTTCTCAAGGTTTCGGGAAAGCTTTTTACAGAGAGACATTAAATTAAGCATTTTTTTTTTGTGAATAGATTTGTATTTTAAATTGCAAAGGTTTGTTTCGAATAAAAGTCAGAATGTGAAGATAGGCAAGTCAGTGTAAACTTTTTTGTATTTTTAAAGATTTTCTTTATTAAAATTGTTATTATTTATAGTCAGCAAGTCACTCCACTGATTATATTTCCAAAAAAGAAAACTGAATAATGTTTAGGGCCATAAAGTTTGGCACAAGTTTATGTTTTAGTCAACATTTGCGTTGAACATATTTTCGTTGTATTAAATCACATTTGCGGTAAACTTGAAGTACTTAAAACCGGCAGATTAACTCCGGGGATGCATAACCACTTGGCCATTTGTCGAGATTATCGCTAGCTGCTTGAGGCCACACACATTTGCGATTGGTTATATTTCATTATGGATAATTTGCATTTATCACTTTCGACGCTTTTGGGGTTTATTGCGGTTTTATTAAGCACTTGGCCACTGAATCCTGTATCTGAGCACAATGCTAAACACCTCTTCTACTCACACAGATACACCGCACTTGTGCGCCTGTAGTGGTGCGTGCTCGAGCCGAGAACACTTGTGCGTATTCGATGGTCTGCGTATGTGTGTGGGTGTGTGTGGGTGCGCGTTACGATGCGAGAGTGTGTTTGTGCTGGTGTTTAGGTGTGTTAGTGTGTGTGCGAGGGAGCGCTTTAAATGGAAACCCTGAAGCGAACGGATTGGGCTACATTTCCACTTGGACCGCTCGCGTTTTCCGACAGCAACATGTGTACCGTTATAGCTTCGCGTATCTACTGGATACCCATCGTCGGCGTTCTACTCGTCGATGCGTTTTCCTCGCGACGTCTGCTTTGATTTGAGTTCGAAACTCGAAATTCGAGCTGCCTGCCCAAGCGCCGAAAAGACGAAGAGAAAATGTCGAAAGAGAGCGAGCTCTTGGCTGCTCGAAACTTGGCATACGGTATTTGGGAACTTAACAGTAACAGCAACGAATATCGTATGTACCACCCGGAACTTCAGGTCTTTAAAGTCTAGTTGGCCAAAAACATGGATTGACAAATTTTCCCCTAGCACCCCCAACTTTTTGCTTATTTATGCGTTAAGATTGCCCCTCAAACCGGAGATATTCGCTGCGATGGGCGATAAAAGTTGTAGCTGTAAAAGTAATTAGTGCTAGACACGATTACACGATGTTCCAAATCGGCAGCAGATAAACTCCCTGCTTAACAAATGAATAATTGTTTTGGAAAATATTTTCGGAGCTTTTTGGGGATTCTAAAAGATATGGTGTCAATAAAATTTAAATTAACTAAGTTCAGCTCAAACATAGATAGATCTTAAAGGGGGTCTAGAAGCCTGAATTTTAGTCATTTTTTAAGTAAGATAAAAAGAACATGACATTTTAAGACCACAAAAAAAATGCCAATTTGCCGAGATACAGCTCGGATGGGTCTTCTAGAAAAAAACGGTGGGTCCTGGCTGACATGATTTCAAACAAATTACTCGAATTTTAAAAAATACTTTTGGAATCATATTTTTAAAAGTCAAAACTTTCAAAATATACATAGCAAAATTAGATTTTTAAAATTTCTAGATCAGAATACCCTCTTAAAAGACATTAACTGCATATGGCTAACGTTAATTTCATAGAAAATATTTCATAATTGTGCTTAAGAACAAGCAATCTAATTAACAATAATCAAATTTAAGCTTTTGTTCAGCTAATATGTTATAAACAATGAATCGTTCTTTAAATTGTTTTAAGACAAACGCTACAATAGAAGAAAACCTGCCATTCGAGAATAACCAACCAAAATCTTTAAGAGTTAGAATTAAATTAAAGCTCATGCTTGGCCAAAATGTGGTCAACAATGAATCACACTTTTAATTATTTTAACCAAGCCAAATTAGCTCATTTACGTTTCAGTTTTGTTTTGAAACTTAAATGAATATCTGCTGTATTTATTTATTTTATACAGAAGTGTGGATTGCATTTAACTCAAATATTTTTATTTGGGAAAGCAACATTCAAAAGTTTTCCCTCTCAAAAGTTAGTACTCAAACAGCTAAGGCGAGGAATTGCATATATAATAAATTAATTTTAAAGAACTGTCTTTTTGCAGCCTTTATTTTTGTTTTGAGTTGAATTTTATACATCTGCATAGGCTGCATTCTAAGATCCATATCACTGTAGTATTTAGCCAGTTAAAGCCAAATCAAATATCTGTACGCCCTGGAAGACGAGAGCTTTGCGATGAATTATAATCCCCTAGGCAGCCAATTGGAAATTAATTAAATCGAACAATATTTGCCCGCCTGAATTATTCACTTATCAATCAATGTGTTTATTCTTTGACGAAACAAGTCCATAAGTCGGTCGGCTTTTCAAGTGGTTTTCCATAAACTCCCGCACACGCACTCATATGAACGGACATACAATATACACATATTTTTTGCGGCAAAACATTGCGCCTTAATTCAGATTCGGGCCGGGCAGATGTTATTCATCATGCGAGTGCGCCATTGTTGTTCTTTATCAAGTGATTGATGCGCAATATCCACACAATTTGATATGGAAAGGAAGTAGTAAAGAAGGCCCCGAGCAATTTGCGCCCGTCCCAAAAACCGAAAAGCCAGGAAAAATTCCCCGCCGAGTGCAATCACCTGGGATTGGGGGATCGAACTCCATTGGGTGCCAGGAATCGCCCCCCATTTCCCCTCGGTTCCACGGAATCTGCGGCGGGTCGGTGCCGTGCTGGGCATTAAATCGTTAAAGTAACATATACAAATTAATGCAAACAAATACACGAGTGGAGCTGCATGAAATGCATTCGACTGCCAGCAATTTCTCTGCAATGACCTGGGAGTTCGATGGTGCTCCAGATCTTGTCAATAGTTACGACTTTCCAATGTGCCACGGAATGCTAAACAGATCAAAAGCCTATTCCCATCCCCACATATACCGACTGCTATCCCGAAAGTCCCGAAAAAACCTGGACTGACAGCCACGAGGTGTGAGAATTCTCAAGTGAGATGGCAGAGCACTCAGGCACCGCCCACTCCCAGACTCCCTCTTCCAATACACTGGGGGAAAAAGGATCCAAGGATAAGGTTAAAGAAAGCAAATCCTTAAAACAATTCATAATTTTAGAATTTAAGATAAAGGTTGAAGACAATTCTTAAAATGCTATTGTTAAAACTTAAAATGTAGCCATTTTTAATAAAATTAGGTTTTGTCAATATGAATATATATATTAATATTATTAAAACTCTCGTGCTGAAAAATCTAGACACATTTCTTCTGGATTAAGTCCTTAAAGCTGACTCCTTAAATCCATTTAAAAATCATTGTTAAATTGAACTAGACTTTTCCCGAGTGTACAAATACCAATCGGTCGCCGTAGCCGCAGTCACATTCTCCACTTCCCACCGACTTGGCTTTTATTTTGGACTTAGCACAAGGGATTTGTGGCTATTTTCGGCATTGACTGTGCACTGGAAGCTGGCCCGTAAAATAGGTGTGGTCATATCATCAATAAATATTCTTTGACTGCCAGGCTGTTCAATAAAAAGAAGAGCAACGAGCAAATTAAGAAGAAATACACGGAATGTTTAGAATTGAACGGAATTATGCGGGATGCAATGTATAAATAGCGAGCTGTATCTGCGCCACGTAAACAAACCGTAGACCGCACCAAAAGATACATCTGTGCGGCTAATGGATCGCGTGCTAGAATAGATGAGAAGGGAACAACAACTGCAAGCGATACTTGGGGCCAATTCCTAGGAAACCCGAGTCCATTGTGTATTGTGAGCATTTCCATTCGCATTTGCATTTGCCGGGCATTCGTCATGGGTCTCATCAGCATCAGCATCAGCATCGGCATTAGCTTGAGATACTTCGGGGATATCTATGCAAAACTGGAGGACCGGGGGCAACGGCTGCTACTTCGGCTTAAGCGTTTAAAATCCCATTTCCACATGCCTTACATGTGTTTCTCTCGGCTCCAACATTTATTATACCAATCGCTGGAGGAGTGTCTGCGACTTTGCGAGTCTGGCTAATTTACATACGAGCATGCCAAATGTCGGCTTTGTTTTTCGGCGTGTTTGCGCGCTGTTTCGACTAACGAATTGCTTGTCGAAGGCAGCAATTAATGGCAGCATCGCACCGATGACTTAATGACAACTTCCTAATAAAAGCCAAAGAATTTAATCAATTTATTAGGCTGTTACAAGGCAGATACATGCGATTATTTGGCCATTAAAATTAGCATATCAATGGGGCGCACTGGCTTACAAAGTTCCACTTCAAGTGGGAGGACGACCAATCCATAAACATGCCATCAATTAGCATGGAAATCACACGTTCGAATGAATTATGGCATCGCAGTCGATGGAACTGCATATTAAGTGGGTTCTTCACTCGGAGTTGACCTTGTGACCCTCGCTAGTTTGTGTCTCTTGAGGGTATCTGCATCTCGGTCACACTGCGAATCTGCGAGGTTGCCGTGCTGCGGCTCATTAGCGCTTATGGGGAATAATTCCGCTTTCGCTCGGAATGAATCCCGCAGAAATCTATACCGCGCATCGATTTATCGCTACAAACACATAAACAACACACACCCCTGGCATCAGGCTCCACGGCCAAATACGTGCTTAACTGTAACATTACAATTTGCAATTTTCGACCAGCTGTCTGTCGTTCTGTCGGTCTGTCTAGCTATCCGCCGGTAAATTCTTCTGTCCGCTCGCCCCCCATCTGTCGTTCAGTTTGTCGGCATGTCCGCTACGCACTTGCCACGCCCTGAATGCTAAAATGTTTTTCAAACATGCAAAGATCACTGCCACAAACACAAACGCTTCTCCATTCACATCAATACTGGCTACACTGAGAGAACAATTAGAAAATTAGAGCAAACCCTTAGTAACAAGAAGCAAAGTTAAAAAATATTATTTCTTCAAAAATAAACAGACTCATTAATTGCTCAATCAATTGTTGGTAACATCAAAATATAATTTACAAATGTAAGCTCTTATTTTTAACATTTTTTGTAATGTACTTACCTTAACTCGTTACCTGTCATCAACTAAGGATTATCGATTGGCACTTAACAGTATTTATTTTTACCCTCAATACTAAACACAATATACCTTTATTTTTTTTTTTTACTCCTAAAGACTTAAAACTTAATATGGATAGGGTTGGTACAGCTACATATTTAATTGCCCAGTTGAAACATAAAAAAGTTATTGTTTCGAATGTAAGAGGCTAATAAGCGGTTGCTATAAAATAAATGCTTAACCATTTGTTTTTAAAATATCACTAATAAAAACCCTTCATGCAGCTTAAAACCTTTTAAATATTTTCCATTTTAAAGTGTATCACGCAAACTTTGAGTTAAAGCCGACTGTCCGCCACAGAAACCGAACCCTTTGACATTGTTTTGGTTTTTGTTCTGAGCTCGACCCGTGCGATATGTAATCAGAATTCGTAGGCACGCATTATTGAATGGGCCGCGCTCCCCTTTCCCCACTTTCCCCTTTCGCTCCGGGATTAAGGGGAAAAAAAAGAATAACGCCGATGTCGTGCCTTATATGAGACTCAGAATGGGAGTATCGTATCCGTATCCATCGCCCGCTCAATGTATGCTCCGCAGATAAGATACTTTATTGACATTGCGTGTCTAAACACTTTACCGCTACGTTAGTTATTGTTCTTGTCGTTTTTGATTGCGATTGTGCGCTTTAAGCTTATTTGCATACTCATATTTCTTCATTCGGTGCGAC